CTTCATCCTCTATCATGATATCCACATTGGCCATATCCGATAGCAAGTTTGTGAAATTATTGACATGTTCTCTAATGGAAACTCCCCTCTTTATTTTGAATTGGTAAAACATTTTCTTCAAATGAAGCTGATTCTCAATGCTCTTCGTCAAATACTTCTCATCGAGTGTTTCCCACAATTGCTTCGCCGATGTTTCATTCATCACATTATAAATCAAGTCTGGTGTCAAATATGATCGAATAACCCCACATGATTTACTATTCATTTTCTTCCAAACCTTATCCTCCATATCCTCGGGTTTCTCTTGTAATTCAAGAGTCTCCTCTAAATTTTGGGCATCTAACGCATTCATCACTTGACACCTCCACAAGCCGAAATTTATCTTGCCATCAAATTTTTGAACATCAATTTTTGTATTATTAATACTCAACTCTTGTATCGCCTTGGACAGAGACGATCCCGATGTACTTGCTTCGGTCATCTTAACAATCCAATCTCTTCAAACGAGAATCCAAGCCCTAGCTTTCTTCTCCAAATCGAACCCCAAGTCAAACCCGGAGCTCTGATACCACTTGTTATGCGCAGCGAAACCGGAGAAACACACAACCGCAAATGAGATTAGAGAACACAAACAGCAACCAAAACAAGTATCATAAATGCAAGACAACAAATTTTACGTGGTTCGTCAAATTTGCCTACGTCCACGGGAGCGGCACAAATAATTTCTTATTAATCACAAGAAATTACAAATAAGAGAGAAGATCTCAAGCTTGAGATCTCTCAATCAAATAGCGGGTGATTTTAATCTAAAATCACCGCTCAAACTCTCTCTTAATTACTCAACCACCTTCTTAAATTCACCAAACCCCCTCCTCTTTAATTTTGGGAACAGGACAAATGAGGGACAAATGGGAGAGAGACAAATGCAGAGGGAAACAAAATCTCGCCGCCGCTGCTCTCCTCTTCTGCTCACGCTTTTACCAAGCTCGTGAATAGGGTTTTCCTTTTATAGGGAAACCCTAGGTCCTCAGGTGAGCTCCATGCCAACCCGTCTACAGCTGGCTCCCACGCAAACAGGCAAGCTCGACGTCGCCCTCGCCTACAAGCCCGCAGGCGACCCGTGACCCGCAACAGACGAGCTCTCCACTCGACCTCGCCTCACCACGAGCTCAGACGAGCTCCTACGCACGTCCAAGCCGTCGCCTACAGGCGAGCTCCTCCTCGCCTCGCCTCTCCAGACCTCGCCATCAGGCGAGCTTCTCGCCCGTCCAACCCGCAGGCGAGATCTGCACACGCAGGCGAGCTTCCTCACCTGTCCAAGCCCTCGCCTATCGAAGCCCTCGCCCGCAGGTGAGCTCCCAAGCTTCAGGTGAGCTCCAATCTTCAGGTTCGTTCTTCTTCAGATGCATGTCCAGAAGATTTCAACTCCACAAACTAAAAATGTATATTAAATGAGAAAGCATGCTTCTCTTGGTTCTTGGCATACATATCTTCGCTCAATTATAATTTCTTCACCCTTTATTGCGAGATACAACCTCTCCATATGCTTCATGAGTAGTGGTCACTTTGGTCTTCTGCCATAGCTAATCGATGCGATCTTGCATAATAGAAGGTGTTGGGTGTTGTTTTCTTTACCCATTATGGCGTTGATAGTGCCAAATCATTCTCCTCATGTTTCCATTGATTTTTCTTTAGTAATATTGAGCATTTCATGTTATTTTCTAAATCCTGGTGTTGTAGAAAAAGGTCTAGGTGCTGCCAAGGTGGCTGCTTAAATGCTAGGCGCTTTAGTCAGTCACCCACATAGGTGGATCTATGCACCTATCTAGTCGGCTTAAGGCTTTAGGTGTTCCCCTCCTGCCTATATCTGCTCAGCATTTTCTGAAAGTGATATATTTCTACTTGTGATGCTGTAATTAGAGACATCCTTGTTCTTATTGGCCATTTGCAGCTCTGCATTTGCCTGACATCAATTTTTACTTAGATTAGTTCTCTACTCCTTCAATACTCATTTTTTCTGGTCTGGAAGTAGCAGGGCCTGCATATGTGAGAGGACTTTAGTCATCAAGGACACTCTTGCACCGCTGATCAGGTCGTACGCATTACAATTGTCATATGTCATTCCATACTCTAACCACCCCATGAGAAGGATAATGTGCTCTAATGGATTTATATTGGAGAAATGAGAAGGATTATGTGCTCTAATGGATTTATATTAGAGAAAAAATTGTATTATTGAGGTCAGTTACCATTATCTTTCATTTGGGCTTATATACAACCTACAAGACACTCTTACAAATAAGACCCTAACAAAATACATATATCTCGACACTCCTCAAGATGAGTGAAAAATATCCACTAAGTCCATCTTGTTACATCCTCTAGCTATGTCTACAGAACTGAGTCCTTTGGTCAGACAGTCGGCTGCCTGATCTTTAGTTAGAACATGACCTAGCTCCAGTAGTCCACTATTCAACTTCTCCTTGATAAAGAACCTATCGATCTCGATATGTTTGGTTCTATCATGTTGCATTGGGTTGTTGGCGATGCTGATGGCTGACTTGTTGTCACACCACAGCTTCATCTTGGTTTTCTGATCCAACTTCAGCTCCACTAGCACACTTTTCAGCCACAACAACTCCGCAACCCCCAAGACCATAGCTTTGTACTCTGCTTCCGTTGTCGATCTCGTCACCACTGACTGCTTCTTGCTCTTCCAAGAGACCAAGTTACCTCCTACAAAGATGCAGTAACCTGAGGTGGATCTACTGTCATCAGCACAACTAGCCCAATCAGAGTCACAGTAGCCCTCAATGCTCACATGATCATTCTTCCTGAATATCACCCATTTTCCAGGGGCACTCTTCAAATACCTCAGGATCTGGTACATTGCGTCCATATGACCCTTCCTCGGGTCATGCATGTAGCGACTCACCACGCTCATTACAAAAGAGATATCGGGACACGTGTGACTCAAATAGATCAACCTACCCACCAGTCTCTGGTATCTGTCACGATCAACCGGTTCTCCTGCCTCAACACCAAACTTAAACCTCTGGTCGAAGGGTGTAGCTGTAGGTTTGCACCCCCAACATCCCTGTCTCTGTGAGAAGATCTAGTGCGTACTTCATTTGAGATAGAACAATCCCCTCCGCTCCTCGAGCTATCTCGATCCCAAGAAAGTATCGAAGCAAGCCAAGATCTTTCACCTCGAACTCTTTACCCAGTCTCACTTTGAGTTGGGCAATGTCCTTCTCATCATCCCCTGTAATAATCATATCATCCACGTACACAGTAAGCATAGTAATGTGGCCTCCGCTTCGTCGAAAGAACACAGTGTGGTCGGCGTTGATCTGCTGGTACCCCATACCTATCATAGCTCTTCTGAATCTGTCGAACTAAGCGCGAGGAGACTGCTTTAGCCTATAGAGAGACTTCTTCAATCTGCAGACTTTGCCCATTGTTGACCCGTGCCAAATCCTGATGGTATATCCATGTACACCCCCTTCCCCTCCACTAGATCCCCATGAAGAAATACATTCTTTACATCTAGTTGGTGTAGCTTCCATCCACCATTCACTGCCAAAGAGATCAAAGTCCGAACGATGCTCATCTTCGCTACAGGTGCAAAAATCTCATCATAGTCAATGTCATATGTCTGACTGTACCCTTTTGTCACCAGGCGTGCCTTGTAGCGCTCAACCTGACTGTCTGGATTTTGCTTCACAGTGAAGACCCACTTGTATCCAACTGCTCTTTTCCCTTCTGGTAGCTTTACTACCTCCCATGTGTGGTTTTTCTCGAGAGCCCCTAGCTCCTCATGCATAGTCGCTTTCCACTTTGGATCCTTCTTAGCAACCTGCCAATTATTAGGTAAAGTAACAGAGTCCAAAGATGTAATGAATGCTCCATGTGCAGATGACACGTTAGAATATGAGACAAACTGGGCAAGATCCCAACCATATCTATCGGGAGGATGTCCCGCATTGCTGCGAGTAGTCCTCCGTATTGACATTAAAGTAGGAGGAGTAAGAAGAGGAATGATATCACCTGTGAGGAAGGTATCTGGGGTTGGTGTAGGTGTCTCAGGAGTCGGGGTAGACCGGGACAAGGGACTTGATGGCACCAATGGCACTGTAGGAATCGTTCCCTGAATCTGCTTCCCCTTCCTATTATAAGTAAGTAGCTCCCCCTGAGCCGTGGGCCTAACACCTCTTGTCTCCTCCTCCTCTTCTTCTTCATTCTTCTACTCTTCCTCAACCAATCCTCCCTGCCAAGAAATCGATACAGAATTGATTCCACATTGTTCACTGAACCATTCTCCTCCTCTCGCCTCATACATCCAGTATCAGGCGAGTCACCAAAGGTTGAAGTTACCTCCAGGGTGTAATATGGCTCGAACTCTCGAAAATACACATCCACGCTCACAAACAGCCTCTTCTCTACCGGGCTCTAACAAACATACCCTTTCTGTGTAGCAGAATATCCCACAAAGATACACTTCACCGCTCTAGGATCAAGCTTCCCAACGGATGGTCTGTTGTCCTTCACAAAGCACATGCAACCAAACACCTTCAATGGAAGAATCCCACCATTATCTCCCTTCAACATCTCACACGGAGATTTCCACTCTAGCACTCTTGAGGGCATCCTATTGATCAATTGAGCTGCGGTCATAACTGCTTGTCCCCACAATGTTTTTGGGACATTTATGGAGATCATCATACTTCTAGCAACCTCTAGAAGGTGTCGGTTCTTCCTTTCCGCTATCCCATTTTGAGCTGGCGTATATGCACATGTGGTCTGATGTTGTATTCCTTGAGCTGACAAGTATTCCCCAAGTGCTCTGTTGGTATACTCTGTCCACATTATCAGACCTTAATACCTTCACCACTGCTCTGTATTGAGTCTGAACATATCTATGAAAGTCTTGGAAACAACCAAACACATCACTCTTATTTTTCATTAAGTACAACCAAGTAACACGAGAGAAGCAATCATTGAAGGCAACACAATACTTATATTCATTCATAGAACTTGTGGAACAAGGCCCCCAAACATTAGAATGTATCAGGTCAAATGCACAAGAACTCTTATGATCAGAACTAATATAAGAGCTTCTAGCAAGCTTTCCAAACTCACATGCATCACACACAAGTTTCTGTTTATTTGCTTTCTCAAACAAAGATGGATACAACCTACTCAAAACACTGAAGGAAGAATGTCCCAAGCGCTGGTGATGGAGCATCAACACATCCTCAACACTCATCTCAGGTCCTACCCATGCTCTCTCTACCATAGACACCAACGCTGAGTCTAGCCCTTCACGATCCAGGTACCACAGTCCACTACTCCACGTGCCAGTCCCAAGTCTCTGTCTTGTCCCCTTCTCCTGGAAGATCACCTTAGGAATGTCAAAAGAAACAATACATTTTAGTTGGCGTATGATGGCACTAATGGACAAAAGATTTACTGGAAAGGAAGGAGCGTGTAAAACATTGGACAATGTTACAGTATCTGTATAATTAACTGTACCCTTACCAACCATGGGCTGAAATGTACCATCGACAGTTTGAATGCTATCAGCCGATGCTAGTTGAGTGTATGATGAGAACTCAATAGCATTCCCTGTCACATGTCGAGACGTACCAGAATCGACTATCCATTCTGATGATCTAGTGGGAGATATAAAAGCAATAGCATGTGTGTAATCAGTACCTTTGATCGGATGAGCATAAGTAGTAGTGTTGCCTCTGGGGAAGAACAAAATGGATGTCTCCTCAGTCCCACTCTTCTTGTCTCCATCACCTGCTGCTCTCTGCTTCCTCCTAAGAACCTCCAGGAGCGCCTGATCCTCCTCAGTGAAGACCACATCAGCTTCTTCCTCTCCATCTGCTACCATCAGATTTGCCAGGCTGCCTCCTCTTCCACCTCGTCGACCACCGCGGTCACGACCACGACCTCCGAACTGTCCACGTCCATTCGAATTTCCCTCCTTGGGTGGCTTAGGGCAAGCATGTCTCAGATGACCTATCTCACCACAGTTGTAGCACTGTCGAGTCTCCCCATTGAATCCAGTGTTACCTGAGTTGGAGACCGCCAGTGCTAACCTTACCCCTGGAAGTCCGCTTGTCCCAGCCTGTAGCCTAATGTGACTCTCCTCATGTATCATGGCTAAGACTGCCTCATCAAGTGTGGGAATCTTCGGCTGAGCTAGCAGCATCACGATCCTCTGATCAAATGCTGAAGTCAGCCCCTGGAGAAATACCATAGTCCTCTCTTGCAGAAAGGCCTCTCGTTCCTTACACTCCGGATCCTTACAGCTTGCTCGAGGTGAGAAGTGATCATGATCCAGCCACAAGCGCTTCAGCTCTGTGGCATACTCCTGTACTGTCTTATCTCCCTGGACTGTAGCATTAATCTCCCTCTTAATCTGGAACAACCTCAGGTTATTCCCCACCCCATCATAGGTTCTTCTAAGCTTTTCCCAGACGTCCGTCACCTTCCCAATGCCGTCTACTGTAGCGGCAATCGACTGGACCAATGAGTTAAGAAGCCAAATGTACACCAACATATGAGTGGACTTCCACTCGTCTCTTCCCGCAGCGCCCTCCGCCGGCTCTGCCTTTTCACCTGTCAAGTACCCCTCCAGATTCCACCCTGCGAGAGTGTACCTCACCCGACGTGACCAGCTCAGATATGTAGCTGGCCCATCGAGTTTCAGATCAATGGGTGGGAGCTCCAATTTTGCTAGTGGCCTTGTCGCGCTCTCACCAGCGGACAACCTCATCAGCTGCATCAAAGTTGAGACATCCGCGGGGTTCAACTTCTTGATGATCTCCTCCATCGATTCGACTCTAGATCACTATTCTCTCTTCCAACAAAATTACTGTTCTCCTTCAAACAAAATTACTCTCTAGATCACTGTTCTCCTTCAAACAAAAAATCACTAGGCTTCGAGACTCTCTCTCTCTCCCAACAACCGAACCTCAAATATATTGGTTTCCCTGAGTGACTCAACACGAGAAAGTGTTTTTATCTTTTCCTCCATGAAACTGAATCATCATCCTCACCAGCTCGCGATTTCCCCCCGATCCCAGCCATCGGTCGAACTACCATCGCCATCGCCGTCCTCGACCGCACTCGTAGCTCCACTGCTCCCCCTCTCTCTCCGGCGTAACCGCTGCTGCTCGGGCTCGCTGGCGACGGCGGATCTTCCACTATCTCGGTCTCGTGGTCTGCGTAGAAATCGGCAGGCAAAGATCCGTTGCTGGTAGGCAGTTTGGGGCTCGGACCATTCCCAGATCCTTCACCAGCTCCCTCTTCTAGAGTTAGGGAATCTAGGCGAGGTGGTTCGTCTCCGTGTGGGCTAGGGTTTGAGCTCCAACGATCCTGGCGACGCCAATTTCTGGGTTTAGGGTTTCATTTCCTTTTTTTTCGCCATGGCCGAGGAGATCGCAACAGCAGGGGTTGGCGGCGGCTCCTGAGCTCTGATACCAAATTGTATTATTGAGGTCAGTTACCATTATCTTTCACTTGGGCTTATATACAACGTACAAGACACTCTTACAAATAAGACCCTAACAAAATACATATATCTCGACAGAAACAAATTCTTGCTCCAATTTGCGCTGATTGGAATACAAAGATGAATTGAAAATTCTGTGAAATGGGAAAAAAAGGAAATTTAGAGTTAATCGTAGAGCTGAATTATTTACTTCAAGGCTTCTTTCTATGTTCTTGTCCTACAAGTTCATTGATTCTAGTGACAAAGGTTTGCCTTTCTTTATAGGGAATTAGCAAGCCTAAGTTTCAATGGTTAAGACTTCTGATTCTTGTTAGTTATCTCTTTTGGGCAATCACAATGTTTTTCATAGAAGAATCCTGGAACAAGTAGAACTTATTCTGTGGTTATGAGGTCCATCATGGCAGATCCTCACATATCCCATTTGTATTGCTACTTCTTCAGTCTCCTTATGTTTCTTTTCCATTGGATTTTGTCTGATGATTTAGATTAGAACGTCCCCTGTTGCTGTCTCTTTTTGCTGAGATGAAGTGTCATAACTACAGTGTATACACACCAAAGTTTTGTTCATGTCCTAAAACTCTTGCCTTCCATATTTTGCTGGAACATGTAGTCGCAGGGGTCTATCTGAAGTGTTGTAATCATTTTTACTTACCTCATGTTCTTGTTCTTTACCTGATTTATTTAAAACAGGCTAGCTAAGGATGTTGTTAAAGCCCTTAAAAAGCGTATCAGAAGTAGGAATCCGAAGGTTCAGATTCTTGCGCTAACAGTAAGTCTACAAATATCTTGATGATTTCTATACTTACTTCCATTTTCTTCTTTGTCCTTGCTCTGAGTTTGTTACTAGCACTTAGAATATGACTACTTCTATTGATGACAACACTTTTATACGCACTTGTCACTTATTTTAGTATTTGGTGAAATTGATGTATTTGTCCTTACTAATTCTGAAACTTGGATTCAGTACCATTCCAGTGCATTCACCTAGTGTTCCTTGTTCTATAGGGTTATTAAACCACTTTGTACTTGGAAAGGAGTAATACTTTATATCTACTCTTGGACATTATATTTGCACTGTTTTCAGAACAGTATTTCAAGTGCTTTGATTTATCTTAAAATGTTTATGACCATCTTATGTAGCCTCTTTTCGCAGAAAGTTGTACAAAGCTAATACTGAGTATTTTTTTTTTAGAATTACATTTTTAGTTCCAGTTTGTATGTAGCTTAGCTTTACTCCCTTTTTTTGGGAAAAAAGCCGGAGCCTAAAATTTATTGATAAAACATCTAATATTTACAGAGATAAGAGTACGTGAAGATGGAGGGATGAAAATAAACTAGAAATTTGCACTAGGACCTTCTAGTTTCATGTACTGGCAGG